TTCCTCTATTTAATGCAAGTTATTTCTGTTTGATAGCTTTACTTGTTTAGAAGTTATAATAAATCAAACCGGAGTACTTTTTTTTGGGACACCCGGTAGTTATAGCGAACTACATTTTGCCTAAAAGTAGCCAAGTAGTTGACTACTTTTCAAACAGCAAATCGCTATTCGCTACTTTTTAAAACTGTTAGCAACTTGATAGAATAGAATGTTATTAAGACACAGTTTGCTTTACGAATAAAGTATGCCGTGGAACTGTTCAATCTGTGCAAGTGCATGCCGTCTTATTTAGCCTACTCGCGTAAGTCGATTTGTTATAGGTTATACATTACAGCCTGAGCTATAATAGATGTTCCAAATACAGTAAAGTTAAAAAATATTGAGTAGCGAAATAGCGAAATAGTTCGCTACATTTTTTAAGCAGTATCTGTAGTCAGTAGCGAACTACTTTTGTTCAAAATTAGCTGTAGTTGTAGCTGACTACATATTTTTGAAGTAGCTGTAGTTATAGCGAACAACAAAAAAATTGTAGTCAACCCACCCTTGAAAAAATCGCTCTCCCCTAGAGACAACTCACCTCTTTGGGGGCAGCCTTGCTTGAGAATCTTAATATCGTCAAGTGCAATGTCTCCTCGGAAACTTCGTCCGCGCACACCTTCAAACGTTATCTGAAAAAGAGGAGTTCAAAAATGTTGATAATCCTCATAGGATTCCTACCACAGGTACCCTAATCAACGTACCGTGAATCTATTATTGGCATTAGGCGAGAGTTGTCCCAAGAACCACTTGTTGCCTTGGTTACCAGTTTTAGTCCAGGTCGCTTTTAGAGGTCCCCCGACTTCATTCACGCGGATGTTCAATTTTCCTGTAAAGACAAATAATTTCCAAAGTTAATTTTATCACGCTAATTGCTAATTATTAATTGCTTATTACATGTTACAAATTAGGAATTAGACTAATTACTAATTACTAGTTACTAATTACCAATTACTAATTACTAAACACTAATCACTAATTACTAAACACTAATCACTAATCATTAATTACTAATCACCAATAACTAATTACAAATCACTAATTACTAATCACTAATTACCAATCACTAATCATTAATTACTAATCACCAATAACTAATTACCAATCACCAATTACTAATAACTAATTACTAAACACTAATCACTAATCATTAATTACTAATCACCAATAACTAATTACTAATCACTAATTACTAATCACTAATTACCAATCACTAATCATTAATTACTAATCACCAATAACTAATTACCAATCACCAATTACTAATAACTAATTACTAAACACTAATCACTAATCATTAATTACTAATCACCAATAACTAATTACTAATCACTAATTACTAATCACTAATTACCAATCACTAATCATTAATTACTAATCACCAATAACTAATTACCAATCACCAATTACTAATAACTAATTACTAAACACTAATCACTAATCATTAATTACTAATCACCAATAACTAATTACTAATCACTAATTACTAATCACTAATTACCAATCACTAATCATTAATTACTAATCACCAATAACTAATTACCAATCACCAATTACTAATAACTAATTACTAAACACTAATCACTAATCATTAATTACTAATCACCAATAACTAATTACTAATCACTAATTACTAATCACTAATTACCAATCACTAATCATTAATTACTAATCACCAATAACTAATTACCAATCACCAATTACTAATAACTAAT